TATTCTACCATAATATATGGTTCATTTTTTATCGAAATATAGAGAAAAAACCTCGCAAGAAATCATCTGGAAGAAATCATAAATTATAAAACGCATCGATAGTTTCTGGAAAAGTGACTTTAAATCATTATAAAAACAGCGCTTTGCAGATGCTCGAGACAAAATATCACGTTGGAAACAAATTATCGTAAACATGTATAATAAACATATGGTAAGCAATATCTCTGACGAAAAGTCTATAGTATGTATTGATTATTCATTAAGCTCCGAGAAACCATGATTTACAAGTTTTCTCCCGTTTTATTATAAACGCAAGTGTCTCACGTTATTTCCCAAGCAAATTTTGATCGAAAGCATTTTTCCGTCCCAGTTTTAAAATTGCTCATAAATCAGATAATCACTTCAAAATTCACTAAGAACATCTTTCGTGTATTTTTTATCTCCTTTTACAATTTCTCAACAATTCATTCATTATTCAAGTACTTTCTAATATGGAATTGTTTTGCAAACTGTACGAAGTTCTTATGTTTGACTTACATTTAAACTGATATAAAACCATATATATATCATGTTTTATAGTAAAATGAGTAACCATATTGTTTGTGTAGCTACTGTAGATGCTCACTACATAGTAGACGACATTCAGACGTTCTTTAAATGACTACACTTTTTAAACCACTTGCTTTATATCCATAAGTCCTTGAGTTATCTAGCACTTGAAACTTACTGTTCACAGCTTTGCTTTCCCCACTAAACTTGCTTTAAACGTACATTCAGTGTGAGAGAAACTTGCTTTTTCTCGTTTTTTATTTTCCATCTCTTAAATGCAACTGCGATATGGTACTGTTTCATTCAATAACCTTAAACAGGAATGAGACAGGTTATTTTAGTAGTTGAACTATCGTAAACAGTAATATAAATGACAAAGAATTTATGTCATACGCTTTCGATAGGCTGACCCTACATACTTTCGAACGGTAAGACGATGTAGAAATTTCATATTTCACATTTCTGATTAGAATATTCTCTTTATCTAACTTGAATATGTCTTTTTTGATAATAAAAGTAACATAAACACTTACATTTTATTAACGTAAAGTAAGCGTTACATGAAAGTTATGTAAAAAAGAGTTTTAATTTTATAAGACTAGTAAAGAGGCGATCCTTCAGAAGCGACAAAAGACAACAAAAAAGCGAAAAAAGACAGCATTTTATATAACCAATTTATTTAACCTAAAGTTATGCAAACTTCGAATTTGAAACTGTCCTAGACACAAAATATTCATACGAATGGTAGGTAGCTGCAATAGTAGCTCCTGTTACGGCATTTATTTTTGTAATTAAACTTTTTTAACAAAGTAACTGTCTTCATTTATAGCTGTTTTGACCACACGTAGTACGTATAAAGGTACTTGACTAAAGAAGTAAACCAAAGAAATGTTGCTGTTTGTACAATATTTGAACTAACAATGAGTCATTCAGCATGTTTCGATTATATTTCAATAACTTTACCTTCAGATAAGCAAAATCTTCATAAAGAACATACTCACATCACATCACACAGGAAAATATATATCGATATTTTATGAATTATGAATGGAGTAAAAGTTATTGTTTTAATTAACTTACAATGACAAAAAATTAACAGTTATTAGCAATATGGCTTTAAAATGTGTAGAAATTATGTCACATCTTAATACGTGACTTCTCCTTACATGTTAAATGTTGCTAATTAATATCAAACCAAATACTTACATTAAAATGATTCCATCATATTATAATTCAATAATTCGTTCGTTTGTCTTATATAAAACCTTTGATTGATGTTAATAAAATGTTGTTTTTGTAAGATCTTAATAATTTCAAGAATCTTTATTGGAGGTTAACAGACAACAATATAGCTAAAACAACAATTTTGAGGACAAAAACAAATATGTGCAGCTGTGATAAACTGCGATAAAGTGGGAATTCAATGGTCTTTTTTGTGTAAGTTTGTTTGTAATAAATACCCTTTTTCAAAGGTATTGAATAAAAACTGAAAGAACAAATCAATCGACAACTAAAGGTTGTCACACACAACATGCATGTATCAACTCGTTATCTTTATTAAAATAAACTAAGGACACTTTTTCAATGTTAACAAGATCTTTTAACTTTAAAATATAAAACTCCTAAGCTCGTGTGTTGGACATATCGTAAAACTGTTGGAGAATACTTTCATACATGCATAATAGACTGATACGTATTGGACAAAATAACATTTTCTCGCAGGGTAAATAAGAATTTGTCTTCGTTACTGTCAGAATAGTTGTCCATTAGATTTATCTGCTAATATTTCTTTTATAATTCTTTTCAATATTACTAAACATAATAAGGAATGTACGAAATCTTACTCAGCGCATTAATGGTTTTAGATATTGGGTCATTTTTCAACGGTTTGCTTACGGAAGGCAGTGACATTTATGTTAATGGTTATTTCTGTTAAAATCGTTAAGGTGAACTTACAATGTGTTGAGCTTAATGTCACCAGTTGACCGTCTTCAAAATAAGCATTTTATGGATTCGAGGATCCGATTACTAAGATCTAAAATTTGAGACTCAAATTTATTTTCTTAAGCCGCTTGGGCTGTTTTTTTTCCTTTCATCTCTTTTAGATAAATCAATGTTCCGGGTGAGTCGTTTTGTAGATAAACTAATTACCAATTTACCTATGTAATTACTCAGTCGATGCTTAAACACTATTTGATATTAACGCACAGAAGGAACGTCAGTGATGACATAAAATTGTTAATTATTTAAAAGTTAAATCTTTAAAAGGACTTCAATAATTTGTACCTTAATAAAGGACTGAGAATTTAGAACTTACATATGAGACCTTAAATCTTATGACTTATGTAAATCAATCAATCAATAATACTACGAAAACCGTTCCGATTACCACATTTCATAATTCAGCTTCTATGTAGGAAAGTATATAATCATGTGAAAATTACTCTTAAAAATCATTTATGGATGTATTTAGCGTTAAAAATCGGTCACCTCCAACCGCCTCTGTGGTCGATGGGTTAGAGTCGATGACTTCTAATCCAGTTACCTCTCTGGCGTGGATTCGACCCCCAGGAGATGCTTTGGTAGTTTAGTGCGGAGGAAGGTAGTCTAGTACTGGTGTAACTCTCCAGGAATGATGGTAAGCAAACTGATTTGCTACGATATTGTCCGATGGTAGATTTTCGGGGCGGGTAAGCATTACATTAAGATTAACTTATTCTTCAAATATTAAAAAGTTATATGTTGGATGCAAGGTTCTCGAAATAAATATATGACAACAATGATATAATCTGAATATCGTGTTTATATATAAATGCAAGTTTTAAATTGTTAGAATAACCAAATGATGCATCTCGCTCGTTTCCCGTGGTATTATATATTTTTAATAGATGGTACATTGTGTACACCGGTCTTACTGACCTATGTGAAACCACTCTAAGCATGATGGGAACGCACTACTTTTTTGAATACGGAAGTAATGCAGCATGCATCTATTCCTTGTTTTTTTCAATGAATTAATCTGGTCCACCATGATGCTGATCAAGGGTGTCAAAATTAAGAAAACTGAAGAAACTAGATTATACTTGACTTTTAACGCAAATTGAGTCACTTAAGATATTTAACTTTTTCCATACCCTATTTGCAAAATCGCCATAACATCATTTTTACTCAAAACATGCATCAAACACTCCTTCTGACAATCATTTAGTGGTTTTACAAACCCAATTTGGTTCAACACGCGTAATAGTATTTCGTTCATTGTTAGTTTACAACCGAAAGTGAAAGTAGTTTTGAATATTTGAATAAATAGCAACACAGTCGAACTATCATTTGCACTTGCAATATTAAAATCTGAAAAACAGTGATCCCTTGGAAGCAATAAACAATTTAAATCTCTTGAAAAAATATATTGTGTTTTATAAAATAAAATCGTCATCCCTACGCGATGTCGGAGTCATTTTTTCCCTTGGTTGAGAGGCAGATCCCTTAACCACAAGACCACCGCTCCCAGTTTTAGGCTTTAAAGACATGTTCTATGTGCAATATGATTTTATTGTTTTTTTAAAGAGCTGCATATGATGAAAAACTGAAAATTCTCTTTAAATCAAATCGAAGAAATAAACTCAATTGCATTATAATAAACGGTTGCTTAAACTTTAAAATATATTAGAATTGGATTTTTTTCTAACTATGCAAATGATGCAACTGATTTCCGTATCACCATTTTAGTTCTTACAATTTCACTTATCGAGTTGTTCTTGATATGCTCTTCCCCACCTTTCTCTGCCTTTGTGCCCGGTTCAGTGCCTTCATGGAGCCCTGTTGATGTGGCTGGGTTGAGCCGGGAGGTGCGTTACATGAATGCGTTTCTTTGTTGTTCGTTGGTCTCTCTTTTTGTTCGATATGTCTTAATAAATTTCCTAAATAAGCACCCAGATTAGTTCTTTACGAATACATATCTATTCACATATAAGAAGCTTTAAATGGTGCCCAGAGGAGCACAGGAGTTTTCCACCAGTAAAGCTGAAATCACCATTTAACCCTTATATTGTTGATTCGACTTAAAAAAAGGAAATAACAATACTAATAATAATAATAGTCAAAAGACTATTACTTACTCTTATAATGATATTATACTATTGGAATGAAATGTTAGTGCAAGTTTCATTTTGCACACGAGGATTTCTCCTCCAGCAAAAGTGAAAAGTCACCATATAACCGTAAAAGTGTTGATGTGACATAAACCTAATCTACTGAAAATAATATAAATAGTAACGTACAATAATAAAACGCTTAAAGTAAAATGAAATGCAATATGATAATAAAAATATATTTTCTTTTTTTAAGCTCATATACATGTACATAAAATAAGCAAGATTGTTGTCGCATATACGAGATTATCTAGTTCTCTCTAAATATTTATCTTCGAGAATGATACTTGTCTTTGTCTGTCTGATTCCCTCATAAACATTTCTAACATCTATAAAGGTCACGTCTAATGTATTCAGCAAGTTTATATTCATCCGTCGTACACTGTGAATGAATACGAAGTTTTGATACATCCCAATCTTGCAAGTATTTTAAAGAACAATCACACGGTATCCTTCTCCCATTGACATACACTGACCTCAGACCAGAAAGATTGACGATACTTGGAGGTAAAATGGGTCCAGAATATCCAGGGGTAAAGGTTAACTTTAGAGTTGATATGCTGCTGCCACGGAAAATGGACATGTCGTTCATCTCGAATGAAATGTCATAGAGATTTAGGACACGCAAGACAGGAAGCTTATCAATATCATTCGGATAAGCTGGCATATGATTTAAACTGATCGACAGTAGTTGAAGGATGTTTGCAAAGCCGTTAAAGTCGGAGTAAGACACTGTCTGTATCGGATTACCAGATAGATCCAAGGCCTGTAAATTATGGAGTCTACTTAAAGCTGCAGGTACATGAACTAAATTGCTGTCTCGTAAATTCAGTGATCTGATCCTAGCTTCTATACCATTGAATGCATTAATGTTTATGTCTTCTAAGTTATTTGGTAATTTTAGATTGATGGGAACGCCACTTTGTACTGATGTGAAGTTAACAAAAGTGTCATTTAGTAAAATTGTACCAAAATTTCCTTTACCACAGTTGATTTCTAAAGCGTTCGTTCCGCATGAGGCACCGCATACACATCCCTGGGGTAAGTTTGGACATTGTGTTAGTGTTGGACATGCAATAAAGATGGCATTACAAAACTCCACTAATATGACCATCAGCATACACTCATGAAATATAAAATAAATAAATGAATCTATAATGTATGTACTCATGAAATTCAAATAATCAGAAGAGATAAAACAAGGAATTATACAGCTTGATATATAGTCATATATTTATGGCAGAACCTTGTTTTATCGATAAAATGAAAAACAAAAAAAAATATATGTGACAACGACCATATTAAAAGAGATCCAGTAAGAAAACATTAATAGTTTAAATAAGCTAGCAAGTAAAAAAGCAAATGAACTGTTTCTGCTTGTTGAAATATTTCTTATTTCTTATCAAAAGCATATTACTGGTACTTATTACGTGAGAATAAAAAAATGTAAAAGATATTTACTCGTAATAAAGCCATTATAAATATCTGGTCCAGTAAAGATCCAACTATATACTGACCAATTAATGGTTCATCTTATTTGCTGAATAGGAATATCACCTTGAAATCTGTTTCATCCTGGCAAATACCTGTTAAGATATCTGCAGTCACTAGCTACTAAAATATTTTTGAAGATATATAACAGATAGCAGACAAAAACATCTTCTTTCATAGCTGTTCAATTGTACCTACTACTATTTCCATGTTGAAACATCATTAAGTATACCCTTAAACACAAAAATGTCTACCGTTTACCTTACGATAGCACATTTTTTTGATAACTGCGTTCTATTTTGTGTTTGCCTCTTTATAAATAGTTTGTAATCAGTGGCTAAGTTAAATAGCAATTAACATTTTACATTTCGTTTTTATTCTTATTTTCCTTCTTTACCTTGATTTTAGATTACTTTCAGCTAACATATGTTAATATAAATGACTAAAATCACTAAAGTTAATTGTATGTCTCGAAACTTTGATGTGTTGATTATAAACACTTATGATTATGTAACATTAATAGTTTGCTGTCAAATTACAAATAGAATTAAGTTCGTGATTCTTCATTTACCATTTTCATACAAATATTCTTTCAATTTCGCGTTGTTTACTCGGCGCACAAGTAGAATATTTCTTTTGAGGACAGTTTATATGAAGACGTTTACTCACATTTTACTGTATGACAATCATTAAAATTACAAGAACCTATAAGTGAAGAGCTATAGAATACACTTTAGGAATCTTAAAGTGAGTGATGTTTATCGAAAAGTAACTATATCATTTAATGTCACAGGTGATGTAAAGGATAATTATTTCGTATATATCAAATCGCTCAAAATGATAACAGATAGATAGATAAATAGATAAATAAATGATAATTATTTAGTAGCTTAGGAAGACCTGGTTGTTTAATTCAGATCAAATCATATTTAGCCGCATAAAGATAATTTGGCTACCTGCGAATGCTAATTTTTACATAAATGGGTCTGCATGCTTTCTTTTTTTCTGGGTCGTCAGAGCAAACAAATAATGGAAGCGAAATTTCAGACCCTGATGCTCTTATTTGCAAATAGAAGTCCAAACTCCTCAAAGCGGTTACTTCCCTTCATATGTACATGAACGCCGAAAAATTAAGGGGAGATTACTGCGTAAAGAGTGTCAAATGACAGGCGCATACATTTTCGTAACGAAAAAATAGCTCCCGATTGGTCGAAGATTTATTCTTATAGACATACGAGTACATGCTTCTATTCAGCTCCATGATTATTAACTTCTGTGTTAAACAACAGGTTTATCGTGAGCAACATATATCGAAATTAAAAAGGGTTACAAACTCTAATTTAGAATTATTTTAGTATCTTTCAGGCTATTATCTTATAATTACCCGTGGTCGAGGGGTGTACACGCTCGCTTTGGAAGCGATAGGTCTGAAGTTCAAAACCCAGATCAGGTCACTTTTTTTAAAGCCAAATAAACATTGAATTGAATATCAGTGCAGTGTTGCAATTAGTCTTATAGCCAATTTACTAATGTTATAACACTGGAAACAGCATTGGTGACGCCATACAAACAAATTGGTTTATAATCTCACAACCTTCACCTGTCTGACATTCTGAGACCCAAACAAATTCAGCGCCTTCTGTACACGACTTTTAACGGTGTATAAATGGGATCTTACTTTCGTTGTCGTTTTATAAAGAATTATATCAAAGGTCTGTGGTCCAGAATAGGCATATTTTTCAGTTTAAATAGACTTCGACATGTAGATTACAATAAAAAATGTTTTAAGATGCCTTTTGGTGAAAAAACATGATGTAAAGAGACTTTTTTCCGTAACGCGATCGGTAATTTCCGCCACAATATTAACTGAATACGTAGGAATATCACGTCAGTAATAATTGTTTTGTGTCATTTAGCGTATTGTACATTTTTTGGTTTCTAAACGAAGATTATGTAAAAAATAAAGAGTTTCTTTTGATATTTAAATGCTCTAATTGAACGCGACCATAAACGCCGTCGAGTATTAAACGCAATTAGCCATTCATTTATTCAACAAGATTGTAAACAAACAAATAAAGAGAGAAATAAAACAGACAAAAACATTCTCAAAGCTCTTATTTCTGTAACAAACTATGCAATTTACGGCGTATATATAATTTGTTTACTTACATAATATATGAACTATTCACCTTGAAAGAAACTTTCAAATGATCAACATCCTACGGTACTCCGTTTGGACAATCGTGATTTTTTATTCCTTCCCTATCCGCGATGCACGATGGTACAATAGTTAAAACGCGATTGAACGATAACACGATGATGAAAACTCGATGGTACGATGGTGAAAACACGATGGTACGATGGTATAAGCACGATGTTGCGATGGTACGATGGTGAAAACGCGATGTTATATCGCGTTTTCACCATAGTACCATCGCGATTCTACCATCTTACCATCGCCTTTCGGTCAGATTGACACATACAGATGTATACACATACAGAATGATGTCAGATTCTGATAGGGCAGATAGTAAAAAACAAGTTAAGAATACTTACTAATCAATGTGAGTTATAAATAATAAAACCTGTTATCTTTACATTAAATTATCCAATTACAAATGTATATCATTATACTGTATATAGATCAATGACTAATTGGTATATACTTATATATGCTTAATGTTCGGTGGCACATAAGTGACATGTCTGTGTTTTTATTTATCTTGTGCGCACGAGATACTTTGTCGTGGCCACGAAATAGCTAAGTCGTGACCACGAGATACTTTGTCGTGGCCACGAGTTACTAAGTCGTGGCTACGAGATAGCTAAGTCGTGAACACGAGGTACTATGTCGTGGTCACGAGTAACTAAGTCGTGGCCACGAGATAGCAAAGTCGTGGCCACGAGATATTATCTTATCAAAACCAAAGCAAGAATAGTTCAAATGCGCATACATCTAAGCCCTCTGTTTGAGAAAGGAATCGAGCAACTTTTTTCTTGAAACAGCAGGGTGTTGGAGATAAATATTTGTTTGTTTGTTTGTTTCATTTTACGCCTTTTTCAACAGTATCTCAGTCATATAGGCGGGTAGTTTCCTAACCATCGTTCCTGGAGAGTTACACCAGTACTAGACTACCTTCCTCCGCGCTAAACTACCAAAGCATCTCCCGGGGATCGAACCCACGCCAGAGAGGTAACTGGATTAGAAGTCATCGACTCTAACCCCTCGACCACGGAGGCGGTTATGGAGATAAATAAAATCGTGATATACATAATATAAGATACACTGCATCCCGTTATAACTCTTATGTCGGGGTCCAAGTTACAAACACTGCGTTATAACGAGGTTCTTACATACTCAGCTCATCACGAAATTACAACATTACCCAACCCACCGCCATAACATATAACGCTAAAGAGGGGGGAGGGGTAAAGCCTATTAATATTTATGTCTATTTTTCATATGAGGCACATGTTATTTCAACATTGTACACGATGATGATCATCAACAACAACAACAAAAACGACAATAGCATAGTTAACATCATCATACGATAACAGTATCATTATTATCAGTACATAATCATCATCACCATCATCATTTTTATCATAAACAGCAGCAGCAACAGCAGAAGGTATACAACATCACCTTTATTATCATCAGAACAGCATCATCATTAGCATCATCATCACCACGACATTAGCACCAGTACACCATCATGATTCTCCCCACAAGTACATCATCATATGAAGATTTGTTGAAAATGATGATGATGACGACGACGACGATGACGATGGTAATGATGATGATGATGATGGGGGTGGTGGTGGTGGTGATGATGATGATGATGATGATGCAATTTAACAATTTTTTCGTGTCGACTTTGTTCTTTTTCTATCCAACTTCATGCGGAGCTTTATTCGTAAAAGGGAGGCATCCTTTGAGTATGATTGTATTTTGTTAGCAAATAAAATTCCGTGAAGCTGGCGGGAGCATTATTCGTATTCGTATGATTACGAATATAGCTATATGCGTTACGGCGCAATGCATAATGCACCTCGGACTGCTTTATTGGTTAAGGGGTGTAACATGGTGCTAATTAGATCATGTCAACTAAAGTTTGAAAATAGTTATTTAATTTTTTATGCACCGTTTCAAGTAATGACTTGTTTGACTAGTCCTACTTCAAGACCATTTTATGTATAATGTAAATGTTTGCTTGACGTATGAGATATTATGACTGTTATAGTTGTTTATAAGTACATGTGTTTATGTATTTTCAGGACCTCATTTCCTGGCAAAAGTGTCTAGATGCAATACAAAACAGAATATTTTACAGTTTAACTGAATACAAAGTAATTTAAACTTGATGACGGAATGACAGAGACATATATTCCATTCTCTGTTTTCTGGGTCTCGGATGGTTTGGATAGAGATGGAGCACTACATTATATAATGTACGAATCAAGTGCAATCCAGAATTTATCCGCAAGATATGACTGATTTACTCTTGAGTACTTTGAGCAAAAATGGAGTGGGCTGAAACCATTACAGCACCAGCGTAGGACCAACGCTTTCAAACCCATAAGAAAGGGTAACGATAAAGTAACTGGACTGAAATTGAGATGTTTTGAGAAACTTATGTTATATGTGACTAGACTTTTGCATACACTCATTGCTGAAATCAGATAAATTGAAAGAAATTGAAAAGAAACATGTCAAAAGACGCATCTAAAAGTCTTTATGTTTATTCTGCTGTTTATTTAAAAGTAATTAAAAAGGAGGATTAATCCTTCCTTTCATGTATTTTTCAGATTACTTGAATAAATTATATATCTTTTTGAAAAGGGCGGACTGGTCCTCCCTATCGTTTTAATTTTATTTTGCTTTGAATATGAAAGTAAATAAAAAAAGAAAGATTAATCCGCCCTTACATGTATTTTTCCCAGACTACTTAAAAGGCGGACTAGTCCTCCCTTTTTCTAATTATTTTATATTGTTTCAACTTTGACTGATTATTGAAAGAGGTGGATACATCCGTCTTTTCAGAGAAGTTTAATAAGAAATCTTGAATATATTTAGTCTTTGGTTTGATTCCCATTATATAAAAGCGGACTAGTCCTCCCTATTGTTTATACTTTTGTCCTGTTTCAGATTTGAAAGAAAATAAAAAAGGATTAATCCCTCTTTTCATGTACTATTTCATGCTACTTAAATACGTATATACAGTCTTTTTTAAAAAGGCGGACTAATCCTCCCATTTCTTAGATAATTTATATTGTTTCAGTTAGACTGATTATTGAAAGTTCTGGATTAACGTCTTTTCAGATAAGTCTGTAAGAAATTTTTGTTATATTTGGTCTTTGGTTCGATTTGCCATGCTAAAAGTCGGACATGTCCTCCTTATCGTCTTACCTTTTTCTACTTGAGATTTGAAAGTTGATAAAAAGGAGGATTAATCCGCCTTTTGATACTCTTTTTTCAGACTACTGAAATGTAAAAAGGCGGACTAGTCCTTCCTTTTCCTGATTGGTTTATATTGTTTCAGTTTTGACTGATTAATGAAAGATGAGGAATAATCCGCCTTTACAGATCTATAAGTTTTAAGAGAAATCGCAAATATTGTTAGACTCTTTGTTTGATTTACATTGCAAAACGGCGGACTACTACCATTCCTCCATATCGCCTCTATTTTATTCTACTTTAAATTTGAAAGTTAATAAAAAGGAGGATTAATCCGTCTTTTCATGTTCTTCTTTCAGATTAATTAAATATATACAAGCTTTCTGAAAAAAGGCGGATTATTCCTCCCTTTTCCTGATTTGTTTTCATTTTTCTGTTTTGACTAATTATTGAAAGAGGAGGATTAACCCGCCCTTACAGATAAGTTTTAAGAAAAATCGTAAATATTTTTAGACTCTTTGTTTGGTTTACATTGCAAAACGGCGGACTACTACTATTCCTCCATATCGCCTCTATTTTATTCTACTTTAAATTTGAAAGTAAATAAAAAGGAGGATTAATCCGTCTTTTCATGTTCTCTTTTCAGACTAATTAAATATATACGCTCTTTCTGAAAAAGGGCGGACTAGTCCCCCCCTTTTATATCGTTTTAGTTTTGACTGATTATTCATTTAAAGAGGAGGATTAATCCGTATTTTCAGAGAAATCTTTACTATATTTTGTCTTTGATTTGACTCCCATTATAAAAGATGGACTATTTCACCCTTTTTTTTACTATTGTTCTATTTCAGATTTGAAAGTAAATAAAAATGAATAATTTGTCTTTTCATGTACATTTCCAGACTAATCAAATAAAGGCGGACTACTCCCTTTCTTGGGTTATTTTATTTTGTTTCAGTTTTGACTGATTATTAAAAGTCTTTGGTTTGATTTAGATTGCAAAAAGGCGGATTAGTCTTCCCTATCGTCTTACTTTTATTTTTATGTAGATTTAAAAGTTAAAAAACGGGGGATTTATCCCTCTTTTATGTTGTTTTTTAGACAACTTAAATATATACAGGTATGTCTTTTTGAAAAAGGCGGACTAGTCCTCCTTTTTCCTTTAATATTGAAGAGGTTTCAAAATAAATAAAAAGGAGGATTAATCCGTCTTGTTTATGTACATTTTTAGACAACATATATATACAGAATTAATTATATTGTTTCAGTTTTGACTGTTTATTGAAAGTGGAGGATTAATCCGTCCTTAATATAAGTTTTATAAGAAATCTTAGACATGTTCAGTATTTGGTTTGATTTAGTTTGATTTACATTTAAAAAAGGCGGACTAGTCCACCCTTTCTTTCTTTTTCTGTTTTGGTTTTAAGAAAGAAATGATAATCTTTCTTGAATAAATGCGTCTATGTATCATAATAAGGCGGACTAGTCCTTTTTTGCATTTTTGTTTTTAGTGTTAACAAAAAGGAGGATTACTCCGTCTTTTTGATTAATCTCTGCAAAGACTTTGTGAATAGGTACAGTCTTTTGTTTGAGATGAGATGGAGGATTAGTCCTCCTTTTCGTTTTACTGTGCAGATAGATATTACAATAAAATTAAGCGTGTATTTCGTTTGTTTCTCCTTCATTAACTCAACAGTTTATGCCTGTTTTTTACCCAAAATTTCAGATTCTCAATCAGTCCTCCTTAATTTAGGAAAAATAGAAGACCCTAAAATCGCCTATACTACCCCCAATTAGGGAAATTTTGAGCAAATCCCTAATTATAATATCAGCCGTTGTATATGAATTTAGATAATTTATGAAAAACATATCATTCTATAGCTTTACAATAATTTGGTCACTTCATTTGTCTGGTGTTTAATGTATTACAGTTTGGCTTGTCCAAGGTACGTTTCCTCAGATGGAAATTATGTATTATATAAGTAGTATTCGCTCTGTGTCAATATTTTTGTACACTCGGTATTTTTAGTATTTCTATCATAGTTTTAGTCTGTTGATGTAGTGATATTTAATTACCAAACACATGGACTAACGAACTTTCAGTCAAAGCTAAGAAACCTTAACAGTTTCTTTAGAATACAATGTAGCTATTTATTGTTTATATGAAAGTGATCCGTAGTTTTGTAGATGGTTTTCTATAATCACCTATGGATCTCTCCAGCATATATGAAGCTGGGCTGAAGTTTTGACCAGCAAAGCCAAATCTCAATAAGGGCTTATATGTGTATGTACGTTCGTGATATTTCGTTTATTTCGTTGAATCTGTTTAGTGACATTTTCTTCGTACGTAATGCACACGACGGATACACCAATTTTTCTTTCACATATGCTGTTTTAGTGCACATCTAAATCAATGGAGATTCACATATATAGTTTAACCGGTCCATATAGAGTTACAACCCCCTCTTCCCCCGGGTAAATATTGACTACGATTAAGTAAATAAACAACAGCTGTATGTATAAGTCCATTTTAAGCAACAGTGACCTTAACACGAGTGACCAAAGACCATGCGAGGTATGTTTTCCTTTTTTTACAACACCGCTTTTTAGTCATGGTAAGTTGGCACTTTCATTTGTTTGAACAATATTATAACTTGGTGCCTTAAAATTAAAAGAAAAATAGTGCGTTTTTGTGTTTTATGTTTTTGTTTCTCTTATCACCCTAATTGTTTTCAATTGCCGTATATAAAATAGCTGAAAGTTTCGCGTCGTATCAGATCAAACAGCTGCTTCTTAGTATCGTTTATATAAAAATCTGAAGAAGACCTATTAATATTATCATATGCCATTCGTATCAGCGGATCAAGTTGCCCCAAGTAAATAGATGTGTGCTTTAAATGAAACTTGAAACTACCTTTTTCAAACTTTCACCTATTGTAACTGTTTGTTTCTATTAGTGACCATAACAATTTGTGCTGTTTTTTTTTCATTTTATCAAACGGATTCTCATGACATTAATCGATGCTTTTTCTGAAGTCATTAATCAATATCCCACTGTAAGAAATCATGCTAAATAATGTAACTAGTTCTCATAAGTCGTTTCGGAAATAATGTGTTCCTAGGTAATATACAGGAAAAAAGTCAAATACTGACTGTAAGCACAGACAGGAACATAAAGACCTTGGATTACTGTTTATCGGCAACTTTGTTAAACCTCGTTACCACCGTAAACAGTTACATTCCGGTTTTTATCAGTGTGAGATAATCATATTATCTGTCTCTCCGTCATGCATGCATACTTACATACGCTCATTCTTACAAATATATATATGTACACTATCACTGATTCAAATTATTGTTTTCATCTTTAACACACAAAACAAAACAACAAAGTAAACAGGAAAATGATTTCTTGAGTACATTTATTTTTGTTCATTTTTTACGTCATTAAGACGAGTACATGTACATCGGGTATTAAGAAATGGTCTTATTTAGGGAAAAGTAAGCAGAACCATCTAACATCGTTGAAGATCCCCCTTTATGTATTCAAGGACTTCATATATACCCGTCGTACATGGTGAAATAATGCCAACTTTCGATACATCCCAATGTTGCAAGTATTTTAGGGAACAATCACATGGTATTTGACTGCCATAGAAATAAACTGATCTCAGTCCAGAAAGATTGACAATACTTGGCGGTATAATTGGTCCACGGTAGGTAGGTGAATACGTTATCGTAAGTGTTGATATAACGCTGTTGCCACTGAAAATGGACATGTCGTTCATTTCGAATGGAATGTCTTTGAGCGTTAGCTGCCACAAGACAGGAAGTGTATCAATAAACTGTGGATACGCCGACATATATTTCAAACTAATTGACAGTGTATAAAGGTTGTTTGCGAAGGCGTTGAAGTCCGAATATGTCAATGTCTGTATATGGTTACCAGATAAATACAATGCCTTCAGATTATGAAGTTTGCCAAAAGCAGCGGGTATACGGACGAAGGTGCTGTTTCGTAAATTCAATGACTGGATCTTAGCTTCTATACCATTGAATGCATCAATATTTATGTCTGCTAAATTATCTGGGAGATATAACTCTATAGGGAGGCCACTGTTTATTGATTTGACACCCATAAATGTGTCTCTTGGTAAAGATGAACCAAAATTCGCTTGACGACAGTTGATCTCAAAATTAAACCTTGGGCATGATTCGCGACATAAACAACCAGTGGGTAGGTTTGGACATTGTGTATGTTTTGGACATACAAGGAAAAATGAGCTACACAAATGCACCGATACGAAAATCAGCATCAACTCCTGAAAAAAATAATATTAAGATTAGCTAATGAATCACACATTTTATTAAAATGTTCAGGGGAAAATGTAAACAAGCGAAATATGGTTATTAAAACGGATAAAATGAATACCCACAGGTCTTTAAAGGTGAAACCATTTGTAATTGATAAAGACGATAAAGAGCGTATGAATCAAATATTCGTTATGATGTTTTGTTAAGTATCTATGCAAAATTAGGCGCTTAAAAAACAACAATTCTAAATAAATGCCTAAATGATACAGAAAAATTCGTCATTATGACTAAACACAGCCATTAAAAGACACGTCGTACTTAATTAATGAGATTTGGACATTCTGATTTGCTGTTTAACTCGGCCTACACACAGAAATCTCGAAGCCATTTTCAACCTGATGATTCTAAATGTTGATTTTTAAAACATAATGTTATAATCCTAAAGTCGTCAGAATAATAATAAAAAATCTTCGGCGCTCAATAAAAAGGCTTTTTGAAAATTCTTTATTATCAATATTTTATTAATTAAAATTTTTCAACATTAGGCATTGTTGTACCGTATTTGGTACAAAAACGAATATGGTACAAATGTACCATATTCGGTCGAATATGGTACAAATGTACCATATTCGGACCGAATATGGTACCATTTTCGACCGAATATGGTACAAACATTGTACCATATTCGGTTGGAATGAGTTTTTCTATGCTCGCCAAAACGTATTTGGTACATACCAAAAAAACTCATAAAATGAAAATGGCCTACGTATATGGTACATAAATTATGTATTTCTTAATAAATGAAATAGTCTGCCGATGTGTAAACTTTTTTTCAAACTCAAATACATTGTATTAACCTAATATTGGAAGTGACAAAAGTATCATCATCATCATCATCATCATCATCATCATCGTCGTCGTCGTCGTCGTCGTCGTCGTCGTCGTCGTCGTAACTAGCAGTAACAGAAACAGCTAACCTAACCACACTTTACATGGATTTTGCTGGTTGTGTAACTGTTTCGCCGGCTAGCTCAGTCGGTTGCGCGTCAGATTGGCACGCAGGCGGCCTGGGTTCGATTCCCGGGCGGGCCAGATACTTTCGTGGAGATTGGTCACGAAATGATTTCTACGGCCATTCTTCCCCTACCGCTGTTTCAAGTAGGGCAGTTGTCAATTACTGGCGAATGTATCTGCTTAGTACTGGTTACTAAGTACTAGTACTCTAAGACTAGAGACGTGCTTGCTCCAGGTAACTCTGTAAAAGTTTGAGGATTATCGCATTTTGGTTATGTTCATAGAGTGTGAACTTGTAAGGGTAAAGGTAGGTGAGCAAATCCATGAAGCGCGCCAGCGCTTCTTGGAAAATTTGATCGTTTAATACCCCTCGGTATTAATGCTTATATTTTAATACATTTTAATAATAATTGGTAGGTTTTGTCCAGATATGATTGCTTTAAGCAAACGTCGTTGCAGGAATGTCGACGTCGCATTCGATTGGTCGAATGACGTCGCGTCAGCCATATTAATGATTTCGTGCATTGTTTGGGTCAATCTAAAACTTCTGACAAGAAGATATTGCATGAGAAAATCCGAAAAATAAACAAGAAATTGGGCCGAAAAAAATAACTAACGAAATTCATATTTCATGCATTTGCAGTTGTTTTACGATAGAATTTCTTCGATATAATTCAATATCCTTTGGTCAGTAGTTTTAGATTGACCCAAACAATTAATAGCAATTTTCAAATTTTTAAAACTTTTTTTTTCGAAAGTGTATTTTCACCAAAATCCGATTTAAGAGATTTTGAGCTCTTTTAAATGAATATATCTCTCCAAAAATAAGGATGTTTGACTGGCTGCTTTAGACAGGTGTGACTGTATTCCTAAACATTAGGCGAAAAGAAAAAAAATGTCTGGTTCCGGTGACCCGACCCTACCTATTTTTTTCGCCCGACCCTAAACTTTTTTTTATTTGAATACGAAAAAATTGGTCCGATTTTTTACTCAATATTCAAGAGAATTGTAAAGAACGTTTTTAAAGCGTTCATGTAAACATTCTAAAAATAAAACAAAACTTAATAATTTTAGTTTAAGTTTTGAATCTATAATATGTTGTCTTGATTAAGGGAAAGTAAATTTTGAAAATAGAAATACATTGTATGTGTCAATTATTTGAATTTGAAACATTGGATATTCAATCTTTTTTGGTTGGTAAGCAGATGTGTGCGTTAGAGTGTTGGTTATTTTCTGGAACGGGAGTTGTTAGCTTTAATATAATGAACTATCAAACCCAAAACCATTTGATTTAAAGACTGAAATAGCACAGTATGAGTTTTAGATGAAACAGTCTTTTATTTACTGGGTTTATTACCTGGCGACAACGGTGACGTCTCTGTGTGTTCAGCCCTGAAAGAGCTTCAAGATATGATAAACAATAGGAGGGCACAGAGGCGAACGACTTTTCCATTTCTGATGTTACCACTTCACATTCAAGTTGAAATTTTTAAGTTCTGCATACAATCAAACCCGTCAATCCAGTTTGTGTTGGCGAAGGTCGGCAAACCCTTTAGAGATTAAATAAGGTCAATGAGTTTGCAAACACCTAGAATATTCGGCCGGATATTGGACTAGATACTAGTAACAGAAATCCTATTAGCGTTCGTTTCCTATTAACAAGAGCGGGCAGAAACAGCGGTCTTATTTCGGCAATAAAAGAAATCATCAAGGGGCCAAAATGGGCAAACGCATGGCTGCGTTTGCGTGTTAGTGGAATCGGTTGGTATGATATCATAGATGTCATGTACAGACATTACAGGTGAATTATACATGTATGTCGGTGTTTGGAAACCTGTTATGTTATTTTTGTGATTGATGATTATGTTCTTCTACCGGAAATTTGTTGTCATTTGCTCATTTAATGGTAACTTTTTACGAAGCACATTTGGGATATTTTGGCTGCTACTAAAATGAATGTATATATGTATATTATGTCTGGTCAAAATGCTACAGTTGGATTAAAATTTAAATGCTGTTCTATGTTCTTCAATATTACTTTGAAAAATCCTGTCAGTATACCAATAAATGAAAAAAGTACAAGTTTGTTGAATCTCTTGAATGAAACAAATTATAAAATACAAAATGTAAAATGAATATGTGATGATGATGATGACAAAACATTTGTGATGATGATGATGATGGTAAAAAAATTGTGATGATGATGGTGGTGGTGATGATGATGACAGTGGTTATGATGATTGGGGTTTGATGATTGTGGTGGTGATGATGATGATGATAATGATGATGATGATGATAACAAACGTTTTGGGATGATGATGACAGCGATGTTTATCGGACGATGATGATGGTTATAATGATGATGATAAGATTTTAGATGATGATGACGGCGATGTTTATCGGCCGACGATGATGATAATGATGATGATGATAACAAAATATTTGTGATGATGATGATGGCGATGTTTATTGGCCGATGATGATGATGATGATATTCTCATCGTCGTCATCATCATCACAACATCCTCATTATCGACCGAAAACATCGCTGTCATTATCATCACAAAAAAACTTTTGTGATCACCATTACGATCATGATAATGGATATGATGATGTTGGTTTTGATGGTGATGATGATGGTGGTGTTGGTGAAGATAACAACGATGATGATCATTGGGGTGTTGATAATTGATGTGATGATGATGATGATGATGATGATAACAAACGTACTTTGATGATTATGACAGCGATGTTTATCGGTCGATGATGATTATTATAATGATGATGATTATGATGACAAATGTGTTTTGATGATGCTGACGGCGATTTTTATCGGTAGATTATGATGATGATGATGTGCTGACCGTCGTGATCATCATTACAAAACTTTTGTCATCATCATCACCATCGACCGAAAAACATCGCAGTTATCATCATCACATTTTTGTGATCTTCATTACGATGATGATAATGGTGATGATGATGATGGTGTTGATGATGATGATGACCTTGATGATTGTAGTGATAATGATGGTGATGATGATGACAATGATGATAAAAGTTTGTGATGATGATGATGACGGTAATTTTGATCGTCGTCATCATCATCAAAACTTTTGTCATCATCATGACGATGATGATGATAATGGCGTTAATGGTGACGATGATGATGATGGTGTTAATGGTGACGATGATGATGTAATTGATGATGATGACAATGGTGATGATGATTGGGGTTTGATGATTGTGATGATGATAACTGCGATGTTTATCGGCCGATGATAATGATTATAATGATGATGATGAAAAAAGTTTTTTATTATGTTGACGCCAATGATTACCGGCCGCCGATGATGATGATTATGATGATGATGATGATGATGCTGATGATGATGATGATGATGATGACGATGATGATTATTTTCATGATGGTATTGATGACGTTGATGCAAATTGTAGTTATGATGATTATGATGATGATGATGATGATGATGATGACGATGACGATGATGATGGTGATGATGATGATGATGATGATGATGATGATGATGAGATGACGATGATGATTATTTTCGTGATGGTATTGATGACGTTGATGCAAATTGTAGTTATGATGATGATGATGATGATGGTGATGATGATGATGATGATGATGATGATGATGATGATGATGATAATGATAATGATGATGATGGTGATGATGATGAGATAACGATGATGATGATGATGATGATGATGACGATGATGAGTGTGTACCATATTCGGAACGAATGTGGTACATTTTTCATCCGAATATGGTACAAGTTTGTACCATATTTGGTCAGGCATTTTACCCCAAAACTGCAGATACGTATATGGTACAATTAGACAGTTGTACCATATTCGGCCAAATATGGTACAAATTTGTACCATATTCGTTTTTGTACCAAATACGGTCCGACAAGGCATGTTTTCGCTTCAAATGTAAGCCTAATATGAAGTTGACCACGGCATTATGAACATGAAACAATGCCATAATGCAAAAAGGAAGGACATTATGAGAAAACTCGGCTATTATGAGATCGGAGAATTTTAATTGGCTCTCAAGTTCGGCCTTTGTTGGACCGTATTTGGTACAAAAACGAATATGGTACAATTGTACCATATTCGGTCGAATATGGTACAAATGTACCATATTCGGACCGAATATGGTACAATTTTCGACCGAATATGGTACAAACATTGTACCATATTCGGTTGGAATAAGTTTTTCTATGCTCGCCAAAACGTATTTGGTACATACCAAAAAAACTCATAAAATGAAAATGGCCTACGTATATGGTACATAAATTATGTATTTCTTAATAAATGAAATAGTCTGCCGATGTGTAGACTTTTTTTCAAACTCAAATACATTGTATTAACCTAATATTGGAAGTGACAAAAGTATCATCATCATCATCATCATCATCATCATCATCGTCGTCGTCGTCGTCGCCGTCGTAACTAGCAGTAACAGAAACAGCTAACCTAACCACACTTTACATGGATTTTGCTGGTTGTGTAACTGTTTTATGATGATGATGATGTGCTGACCGTCGTTATCATCATTACAAAACTTTTGTCATCATCATCACCATCGACCGAAAAACATCGCAGTTATCATCATCACATTTTTGTGATCTTCATTACGATGATGATAATGGTGATGATGATGATGATGTTGATGATGATGATGACCTTGATGATTGTGGTGATAATGATAATGATGATGATGACAATGATGATAAAAGTTTGTGATGATGATGATGACGGTAATTTTGATCGTCGTCATCATCATCAAAACTTTTGTCATCATCATGACGATGATGATGATAATGGCGTTAATGGTGACGATGATGATGATGGTGTTAATGGTGACGATGATGATGTAATTGATGATGATGACAATGGTGATGATGATTGGGGTTTGATGATTGTGATGATGATAACTGCGATGTTTATCGGCCGATGATAATGATTATAATGATGATGATGAAAAAAGTTTTTTATTATGTTGACGCCAATGATTACCGGCCGCCGATGATGATGATTATGATGATGATGATGATGCTGATGATGATGATGATGACGATGATGATTATTTTCATGATGGTATTGATGACGTTGATGCAAATTGTAGTTATGATGATGATGATGATGATGATGATGATGATGACGATGATTTGATGACGATGACGATGACGATTGGTGATTATGATGATAGATGATGATGATGAGATGACGATGATGATTATTTCATGATGGTATTGATGACGTTGATGCAAATTGTAGTTATGATGATGATGATGATGATGATGATGATGATGGTGATGATGATGGTGATGATGATGATGATGATGATGATGATGATGATGATGATGATGATAATGATAATTATGATGATGGTGATGATGATTGGATAACGATGATGATGATGATGATGATGACGATGATGAGTGTGTACCATATTCGGAACGAATGTGGTACATTTTTCATCCGAATATGGTACAAGTTTGTACCATATTTGGTCAGGCATTTTACCCCAAAACTGCAGATACGTATATGGTACAATTAGACAGTTGTACCATATTCGACCGAATATGGTACAAATTTGTACCATATTCGTTTTTGTACCAAATACGGTCCGACAGGCCTTTATGAATTTGCTTTTGTTTTCATTGAAAGAAGTCGCTATTTTGAATTGCTGCAAGGTTGGTTTCCGAGACATTTTCAAAACAAGAATCTCATTTGCAATATCTAACAACAACAGAAATACAGTTTATTAGTTATTTTTTGTTCTCTTAAATTTTAACGTTTTTAAATTATGTGCAGTTAATTAATATAATTGTCAATAATTTACTGTTTTCATAATGACATTGTTATTGGGCTTAGCCTTCAGCCTCAGGCTAATATGTCAAGGTCATTATGAAAACACATACTTATGTAATTAGTTATTTACTTATGCATACATGTTATTGTATATATTATGAATGCTTGTACATGACTCTTTTGAGAGTTAATTTGCAAAATAAAGATTCTTCTTCTTCTTATTATTATTATCATTATAATAAAAAGCAATTATCATAGTATTGCAAGCAATCCATAAGCCCCCTACCGGTTAGAATCCCAGCAACATTCTTAAGGGCTATTAGCCATTCAAATATGCCATTGAATGAATGAAGGAATGAATAAATGAAAGAATATCATGAATGATCTTAAATCTTTGGAGTTTTTAGTTTGTCTGTATCAAAGTAATGTGTAAAATTTCCCTGCCTAGTATGAAAATTATGTTTATACAACATATAATCAAAAGATCTAATTTTCTCAGGATGAAAATGTATAACTAATGTTTCAACTTTTCTCTATTTTAAGTAAATTCGTTAGAAAAGTTACAAGTTCTTTAAAAGTGATCTCAAGAAAGACAGATTGAAAGTTACTCTGAGAGTTAATCTTCAATCATCCCCGGTTGTTGCCAGATTAAGAATATAACATTTTTTTTGAAAAAAAAGCAAAATTTTTTAATTAAGAAGGAGACAACATGATGTGTGTCTAATAACAACAACAACAACAACAACAATCTTAAAGATCATATAACTCATTTTTATGGCTTTAAATAATAAATATGATGCTAAAAAGAAGATTTATCCATATTGTAAGTTCCAAAAAAATCATTATTTGTAAAGATATTACTAAATTAACAGTTTCATGTAAATAAAGGGAGGTAATTAGAAATTTTATTTGGATTTGGTCTAAAATAGATAAATACAGAATCCCTAAAGAAAGTCCAACACGGCAAAATTGAAAATGTTGCAGGCTCGGTTTGATTGAGCCTGTTCATGGACGGTACTGGAAAGTGCAAGTTACCGTCCACGCCCCCTAGCACCGGCTTAAGCAGAATTCAACATTTAAACATGAAATAGTAAAATTTTGAATTTAGAAACATACACAGATGTGTTCATACGGCGGTTATCATGGAACCTTCAATGTGACACTTCCGTGCCATTCCATGAAAAGCCAACTTTTTTTCATTAAGAAATGAATGCATATATTTAAATGATTACTTATAATGTTTATAAACATTTGCAGTACATATTTAACATATTCTTGGATGTTTTGAAATTGTTTTAGAAGAATAATTACATATACAATACTCAAGTGTTGCAATATACAATATCTCTAAAGTTAAAGAAAATACCATTTGTAGTCATAAAGAAGAAAAGTAAAAAAAAATGTAACAATTTTCAAATATACCATCTGAAATAACGAAAAGAAATAAAAAATATCGATTAAATTTCAAGTTCAAAATGAAAATAATCATGGAAACCCATTTCTTATAAATCCGATCACATATGATATAGGTGTTGATAATGAATGTATATTTTAAATTTTAATTAAATCCATGAAGAAATAATAAATTTAAAGAATGAATAATAAAAAATGAAAGTTAAAGGAGATAATTCTGGAAATATGGACGCTAGATTTATAACCCTTGTCATTAAAGTGCTATATGGAATGAAGAAGTTTGAGTAGAAAATAATTAATTTCTAGAAAAACGCTCGAAATAGTCTAGTTAGAGTATTGAACCTACTCACAAATGAAGAAGATGCATTAAGAAATAAAGAGGATTTAAAAAAAAACAGTTTGTTTCATGAAAATTCTAAGTTCAAGGGGGTAATTTTGATAATTTGTGTGCTAAAGTTGTAAACCTTGTCACATTTGATGTGGTTGATGTAGCCTGGGATTCAGGCGTTGAAAGTTTTTACTTATTTATAACATTTTTTTTTCTTTATTAATAACATATGCGCTATTCCGTATTAGTTCGTCGTTTTGATAGTATCTGTCGATTTGCTAAACAGGAACATAAAAAAATCGACAGACTGGAACCCAGGCTATGGTTGATGATCAGAAACATATATTTGAAGTTTGAGGTAAATAGCTTAAGCAATAAAGAACTCATATAGTGAAAAAATCAGAAATCTTGAGGTCGCCGACGCTGGTGAGTAGGACAGTTCTTAATATACTCCCAATAGTCCGAGTCAAGATTACAATAATGTGTATAATCTCCATACTGCCATTTATCAATATTTAAGTTTCATAAAAATGTTTTCAGCACTTTTTAGCAATCACAAATATTGTTATATTTGCCAGATTTTTAGCCTATTTGTTGCCATAGCAACCACATTTTTCAATATACTAGGAAGAAAAGAAAAAGCCATGCAAAATTGAACGATTGAATATAAGCATTACTTCCACATCGAGCAGCAAAAAAAAATAAATAAAATAAACATTGATACAAAGAACATATAATAAATAACACTAGACAGCAAAAACAATTCTTTTTACATTGTTAATTGCTAAGAAAATATTTGCATCAAATGCTTTCTGTTTGATGCAGTATCTGTATTTCTTATTTCTCATAAAATTTTCAGTTGTTTAGTTTACCTATCATACAAAAATATAGAAAATATATTTACTAATAGTAAAGCCATTATCCTCTGTTGATAACTGTTTGGTAAACAATGTACCGACTGGTCAGTATATGACCGTATCTTATGGTTAGAAATTTGCAGCAGAAGGCTGTCATCATTTCATGAACTGTACGCATGCCTGATCAAGCTAGTTACACAAATATTTTTGAAGTTGAACAACAGGTTAATTAAATGGTCAGATAAAGGGGGAATGGTCATCTGTTCGTAAATCAATTACTAATGGATGTAAATATCCATAAATTCAAACATTAACGGAAAATGAACACCTTTAAACACTAGTATACTATTAAACTACTGTTCGGTCATTTGTTATCATCAAAGGTCTGCTGCTAACAAGTGAATAAATTGTTGAAATATAACTTTAAGTTATTTTTATTCTTCGTGAATTTACTATTTCAACTTTTAGAACTCTTAATTTCATGTTTACAGTCTGTACGTTGATTGCTTTTCTGGTTTTACGCCTATTTAATCACATTTGAGCCGCGTTACGACAAAACCAAACGTAATGCGTTTGCGGCCAGCATGGATCCAGACCAGCCTGCGCGTCTGTGCAGTCTGATCAGGATCATTGCTGTTCGCTATCCGTTTCTCTATTTGTAATATAATTTGTTAGCGAACAGCATGGATCCTGATCAGACTGTGCGGATGCGCAGGCTGGTATGGATCGATGCTGGTCACAAACCCATTATGTTGGTTTGTCATGACGCGGCTCATTTATAGTGATAGACTACTTATCTTACACGATTTTTGATTTAGCGGTTAGGGATGAATGAGCAACAGAGTCAATTGTAACAGAAAATTTAGCCTTGCACGAGTGTCAAACCAGCTACCCTTGAATTCCTATTGGGCCAGATGAGCGGACGATTTCATGCCAATTGTATGAATTCACGTTAAAAACTTCAACTTGAGATTATTAAGTTGAGGTTGTGAATTCATGGAGCTGAAATCGTGACTTTATGAAAATAAATTTATTGTGAATTTATAAAGTTATAATCCTGGATTAAAATGTACATATTATCATCCGCTGTTACCTATTTCTGTCCATACTGTTTCATAAACATTCCGGGTAAATAACATAGTTGAATATACGTAAAATAAAAAGTGAACTAATATAGTGACGGTAGCATTATTCTAGTTTGAGGATAAGCTAGTTATTTAGGCTAATAATGTTGCTGCCAATAACGTTAATATGATCAATGACACTAATATGTCTTAAACCAATATTACCCAATTATGTGTGTCCATTTATAGACATTTAAACATACTTTTGCCAGAACTGTCAGATAAATAATATATATTTTATAGATAGCACGAGATATTTTTTTATAATAAGATAATGTAGAGATTAAATGATTTTGTTATTAGATAAAAAAAAAAGGAAAACGTCCGCTTCGTAACAGCTAGAAATCACCCGACACATACTTTATATCGCGTAACGCAGGAATATTAAAAGAGCGCAGGCATTGTGCAAAAGTGACACCGTATTGTGCAAATATCCGGCCGAAGCAAGCAACACGATAAGAAAAGTGGCCATAGATTTAAACAATTCAAAATTAGAAGAAGACATTCGATATTATCAAACGAGATTATAAATATGAAACAGGTATTGTCTTGTGTTTTAAATACATGCATAAATTATTTATGAAATTAAAAAGTATATACATTATAATTTAATTGGATATATTTTAATTTTACTTGAATTTCATTGGAAATTGCAGAGGAAATACTATTACATTTAATATGTTGAAATTGTTGGGCCATTTGTAGCATACGCGCCTCTTTGACGATTGTCGTTAACTTTAACCGGATGCTAATGGGTACCTGTTAGGGTGGTATTGTACTTCCTAAGACAGGAAGAATTAGTTATTAGTTCATAAAACTAATTAGTTTTTAAGTTAATAAAATATTGATTAATATGTAGTTTATCAGGTTCATGTTGAATGTTAATTATTCGTTCAATTTGCAGAACTCTACATACTTACTTACGGTTTAATCATGACATATGTGTTAAAGGAATACATTTAATTTACCAAAATAATCGTTGTGGATGGAATAATACAATTTATACTTGCATTGTCTAAGCTGGTCGTAGGCAACCCTAACTTTTCTCTTTTTTTGATTAGTTTTAATCTAATTTTCAAATAGTGATGATTTAACAACATTCTCGATTATATTTCGTTGCCTGAAGATACGACATTGATAACTGTGAAATTAAAATTTCTGCATTTAATCTAAATTAAAACTAACGTAATTAACAATGTCGCGTGAACACGTGCTTCGGAAGCGAAACTATAAATTTTGCCGATGTGAATTGTAGCTAAATTCTGAGCGTGTTGAAGTGTGTTAAGTTTTATTATATGGTAAACTTTTTTAGAAATATTATTTTGTTACATTTCAACTAATGATGTACGTTAAAAAGGCATGCAACGATTTTGTTCTTTTCTACAACAGCGTATGGAACGATACAGACAATGTGTTTTGTATGACGTAAGCATATTTGAAGAACTGTATTATGTATTTTAAAAAGAGCCTGTAGTGAGCAATGTTGAATCAGTGATCAATAAGTGGACTTGATAATTTTAAATCATGAGATCATGATATGTAGATATATAAATTGGTAGATTTTTCAGAGATATGTAGAAAACTTCACTTAAAGCGAACATAGTTAAAGCAGACGTCCGATTAAAAAGAACATTTTTTGGCCCGAATTTCTTTATTTTATATAAAAAAAATACGGTTATCGTGAACACGTTTATAAGGAATTATCGCTTATAAGGAACTTATTTCTTAGTCCCATTTTAGTTAAAGGTACAAAAAATTACACTTTTATAACGTACTGTAAAATATCCGCTATCCATAAATAGATCCCGCATTTTCAACTTTCGTTTTCCTTCACACTGATTTAAACCGTTTCTTGTTGTATGTGTGAAAATGAATTTGTATAGCAGTACGTAAGAGTTTTCTATTTAAGATATTTTTAGCATGAGTTCTTGTCACCAAGATAAACGGTTATTCCTTTTATTCTATCATTTCTTTCCTTTAATAGTTTTGCTCGAGTAAAATAATTATGATCATTTAAGAGTATAATCGGTTTTCAACATAATCACGCATGCAATTTCATGCTAATCCATTGAAAACAACAAAGAACACTTGAATGAAATAAAAAGAAATCTATATCTTTCATATATAAATGCCCCCCTTTAAATATAATAAAAGATATTCAATATAAAAGGAAGGAAAAATCTAAAAACTTGTTTATTCTTTATGATGGAAAAAAACGAAAAGTACTGAGTTTTGAAACAAAATATCATATTTTACGAGAAATGGAGAAAGGGAGTAAAACTAAAACTGATATAGCAAAGGATTTTCTAATTCCAAAAAGTACGCTCTGTGGACGATGTGTTATGTGTACATATGTTCGCTACAAAAAAAATCCTAATACAAGGAACTAATTCGCTATATGCTAACACGGAACTCTGGATATAAGGAACATATTTTGAATGTCCGAATGAGTTCATTACAAGCGGAGTTTACTGTATTAGGAACTGGCTTAAGAAGATTTACCAAACTTCCTGCTGTCGTGATATACAATCTTGAGCAATGTTTGCTATGGTTCTTTTCTGTTATAATATCTTCCATGTGCAATTAATTTTTTATAATAATGAAACGGTATCAGGCTTTGCAAATATACCATGCATTCTAGAACTCTGCAGTCATGTTATATTTGAAACATTTTGGCTTAACAACAAAAAAAAGTGTCAACATAATAATTTAAAAGCGAATTTAACGTTATTTTTACTAAATGTTCAATTGTTATTTTAAATTGGTTTTGCGATGAATTTGCACACGATAAATAATAACATATTAAAGTACAATATTCTCTCTTAAAGTGATTCCGTTTGCTTATTTTCATCTTATATGGCGATAAGAAATACATCTGTCTGACAGTCTTAGACAATGTCAAATGATAAACGAGAAAATCTTCTGCAATATGCAGAATGTTAGGACATTCTTATCTAGACTTATACCCAGTCTAATTAACCGATATAATATATTTTATTGTATATCAGATGACGCAAAGATTTATCGGTCCCAAATATAATCGTAGAATTATTGTGTTTTTGTTTTTTATCTTGATTAAAAACTTTATTACTCTAAATGACATTCTTATTTCATATTGTAATTGCATGCAGTGTGAATGAGGACGTTCTTAAAAAACTCAGGTTAAAACTTACCACGCTAAATATCTTAAATGGACTCGTCCAATATTCAATCTGGTCAAAACCATTCTTTATCTTTAGGGACAATTTCAAAATAACTACTGACTGAATTGCGAACAATGCAGACCATGATGTTGGTCTGCACTGCTCGCCTCTTACCAGCAGACTAAAGGTTAAATCCTACGATAAATCAAGGACAAAACTGACATGAACATATACACTTCATTATCTCTCATGAACAATCTCAACCATATCAGGCGTTCACGTAACTTTTGCGATGCATTAGAAGTATTTCCAATTTCTCGATAAGACTCAAATCAAATCAAATTATAGTCACGTACTTTGTTGAAATTGCTTTTGAAATTGCCTGAAGATTTTAGAATGTATAGGTTATTAATCAACTAAAAGATACGCGTAGGCAACCAGTTGTTAATTTTAAATTGTAATATTATTTTTGCTGTTTCAAAGTGGTTTTGTTTTTCGAGTATGTTTAATCGATGCTGTATTTGATAAGGAACATCTATTTATTCGATTATAAAGTCTGTTTAAAGATGTAAATATATGAATATATACATTCAATTTGGGTTAATTGTGGAGAACTGGTATAATACCCTAAGCTGCAGCCTTTATTTCATGGTGATATAAGGCATATCCCGGGGTTAATTCTTAATCATGATTATTTTCAATCAGAATACATTATAGGTATAGGGGTTGTATACATGGAAATTAAGGTATAGTATAAATATTTTGTACACTATGCTATAAAGCAGTGTTTGTCATGAAAAAATATTTTAGAACATTTTTTATTAAAAATACGCCATGAATTTCCCAAAG